CACACACACACACACACACACACACACACACACACACACACACCACAAAGACCACCCATCCCCTGCACTACACCTTCTCCACCAGCAAATGTGTTTTTGTTTGTGTCCCCCGCTCTGTGTATCGCGAGTTGTTTTGTTGTGCATATGATCTTATGTTTCTGATGTAAACACAGGATCAGAGCAATTTTTTAACTCAACTTTCCTATTGTGCATTTCCTGCTGTTAAAAGGTAGTGCCTAGTCATGATGTTCATTCATGATGATGATTCTTGCCCTGTTCAGGATCTATGGCTGCAAGACCTGGGGGCACTTGTTCTCCCATGTCTGTCTGTTTATGTTCTGTCTTGTGAATGGGTGTTCTGAAATGTAATATCCCCTTGGGATCAATAAAGTATTATCAGTCAATCAATCTAAACACTTCATCTTACATAATAGACTAATTATGAGATGAACACCCTAGATGTGTGTTGTGAAGCTGAATTTTTTACTGTGTTCCTGATTGTAACCAATTTAATAAAACAGAATTTTTTTTTTATCTAATGTCATCAGGCGTGCACCATAGTTTTGGATAAAATAAAGTAGGGAAAAGAAAATAAAACGGGGGAARGGGGGGGTAAATTATGTGATGAAGTCATAGTCATATATCTATTTTTAATGCTGTTAAATTTAAATWGCTGTGGGGAGCTGGTGCCTGTCTGCAGCAGTCTCTGTGAGAAAGGTGTGGAGAGATGGACAGGTCCATCCCAAGGATGCATAAAGACAAAACAAACTCTAGGGACAAAGATCCTAACATGCATGTTTTTGGTTTGCGGGAGGGAACTGGAGTACTCAGAAGAAACCCACGTACGCACGGAGAGAACATGCAAATTCCATTCAGAAAGGTCCAGAGCTGGGAGGGGAACCTGCAACCTTCTCGCTGAGAAGCAACAGCTCTAACAACTGCTCCATTGTGCCCCCCATGGTTGGACAAGTCTACTCAGTACCAGACAGAAAAGGTTTTTATGATCCTAACATATGATCTCCAGCTTATTTAGTCAATATGGGGTTTGATCATGTATAAAATAATGTTCTTCATAATCATTAGTTTTTTTTACATTTTTAATACAGAAACTTCATTGTAAGTTTTATACAAGTCTGTCCATACTGTATTAAAAGTGTACAAACTACATCTGAATTGCTTTCACTCTTATCTTTGATTAAGCCACACAGGTTGACTGCAGAACTGTAAAGCCAAACAATCTGTTGACTGAGAGTGTAAACCTGGGATTTGAAACATCAATAGATTGCTCAGACGGCAAAAATGAAGACGCAGACATCCTGTTTCAACAGCTCGACACTGAAAGGAAAGTCTACTGGGCCGAACCGATCCAGGTCCCTGAAGGCTTCGGGACCTTGGAGGATTCAGATGGATTTCAGTTTCCCAAAGACTCTCCAGCTTCTCCAGTATCATCWTCTACAGTGGAAAGTATGTCCCTGCCTGTGTCATCTGCACCGATGATAAAGACTGATCAGACTCCAAGACATTCTTCCATAGATGAATCTTCCTCCTTAACGTTTACTGAGTTATTGTCCCTGTCTGCCACCTCACAACTCAAGCCAACAAGTCACTCGGTTTCTGTTCAGATAGCTTCATTTCAGTCATCTCATATTGTTTGTAGGAAAGATGTTCCTTTCTGGACTGAGTCAAAACACACACAGCTCCAGAGTAATCTCAAATTAGAAACCTACACCTCTTTTTGTACCGTACAGAAATGGGCAGACCTGCAGATTCAGCGGAATGCTCTCATCAACAAATTAACACACGAGGGTCTCTGTACAATTCCAAACCATCAGGCTTTGAGTTCCTCACATGTTACACACCCACCTTCTGTGATATTCCCTTCCTTTCCATATTTTCCTTTGCTGTCGAAAGACTGGAAATCCCATAAATCTGTCACTGTGATGGCTGGAAAGTATGAGGCAGCACCGGTCTGTGTGGATACAGGACTTTGGTCTCGTGAGCAGGACGAAGGACTCGGTAGAAAGAATAATAAGCTTCTCAAGAACCATCAGACACCCACTGTGCAACGCTACCGTTCATGTGATCACAAGGGTAACCTCTCTGCTCAGAAGTGTTACGTTAATCATCACCAAACAAATCCTGTGAGTATTTCAAACTTCTACACAGTGTTCTTATTTATTTTTTTTGTATCCACTTAAATACTTTCAGTTTCATTTTTATAGTTTTTTGCAACTCTTTGATCTTCAGTTATCGGTCCAACGGGCAACAAAGACTTCAAAGGGTTTTTGTTGCCTTGTTTCTGGTCTTTTTGTTTGATTCTTCCTGAATTTTCTTTTTAGTGGTGCCTTCTCGTTAAAATAAGTTTTTCTTTATATTTATATATATA